CCCGACAAAGCACTGCTGCTTCATCAAGCATGGTTTCCTAAAGGGGAAGACAACAGAAGAACTGTTCTTCTCTCAGCTCCTTTGATTCCTGTGTGGAGGCAGAACCAGGAGGGAGGATCCAACAATATTTACTGGGTCATCATTTTATCTCACATTTAATAAAACAGACATTTTATGGGGAAATCCTTTCTCTTCATCTGGAAGGCGATGCGGTCCCCATGGTTACTGGGCCCAGTATCGTCTGATCCAGCCCAGACTCTTCTCTGTGGACTCTGCAGGGAACAGAAGCGGTTATCAGTCGACGCCAATCAACAGTCAGATCAGGATTCCAGGTGAGACGCACCTGACGGCCTGTATTCACAGCCCAGGTAGCCTCGGTAGCCCAGCTTCTCCAGCGTCCTGAACAGGTAGCCGAAGCTCAGCTCTCCGTCGCTGTCGGGTTCATTCCTGCCGGGGACCTGAGCGATCTGAACGTGACCTGAAGGACAGAACGTCTGTTAGAGCGCCACCTGCTGCACATCACCGTCCTGAATGGGAGCAAAGTGGCTTCCTGCAGCCGCTTTCACATCGTCCTGAACAGCAGAGCCTCAGTGGACCAGAACCTGCTCCACGTCTGCACTCCTTCCCATAGACATTATAAACACAGAAGCCTCATTGGACGCTGGCCCACGTGCCTAGAGGGCGGCCATCTTGGATCAGACCATAGGAGGCGCCTTAGATTGAATTTTAATCACATGAAAGAGTCAGAGATAATATTACAATAATTACAGAAAGACCAAAACTAATTCTAAAATTAACTTTCAGATATATTACACAGATTTATTTGGATTAAAAACTAAACTGAACTTAAACTGGATGAGATATATGCAAAGTTATATATTTGCAAATAAATATTAATATGATAAACACAAAGTTTTATATAAAAACATGTTTTACAAATGTATATTTATATGATGTATTTTTAAGGATTGCTCATTGATAATAAATATTATGATCTATAGAGGAAAATTAGTTGTGATTTACAAAAGAGAGTAAAGTTATTTGTTTTTCTTTTTATTAACTTAATGTTAATTCTTATTTATTTTTTCTCACTGTCAGGACTTTTGTTATCAAATCTTAGTGAATGGTAAATTTATGTTGTGTCTAACGGCTTTTTGTCTTCATAAACTGATTAAAAAACAGATGTTCATAGATGCATTAATAATGAATAAAAAAAACATAGTTTGAAAAAGTTTTAGCCCAGGGTCTTTCTGCATGGAGTCTGCATGTTCTCCCTGAGCATGGTGGGTTCTCTCCGGGTACTCCAGCTTCCTCCCACAGTCCAAAAACATGACTGATAGGTTCATTGGCTTCTCTAAATCCTCTTTAGGTGAGTGTGAATGATTGTTTGTCCTGCTTGTCTCTGTGTTGCCCTGCGATGGACTGGAGACCTGACCAAGATGGACCCCGCCTCTCGCCCACTGACAGATGGAGATAGGCACCAGCACCCCTCGCCACCCCAGCGTGAAGGAAAATGGATGGATGAATTTCAATCGCGGACGTAGAATTTGACTCCAAGGTTATTTAGAAAGATGTGAATGTTCATATGGATGTTGGCAATGAAAGTAAAAAAAAGAACTAAATGCTGCCTTTGAAACATTTGATTTAACCCAGCATGTGTCTAAGGTCAGTCATCACAAAAGAAACACACCAGACATCCTCAAACTCAACGATATTTCTGACATTTTGAGTTAAAGAAGCTTCCTGGATGGAAGAGAAACGTCTTCAAACTTGAGAACAAAATCCAGAGAATTGATTTTTAACTACTTTGGAAAATCTTCTCATGTTTTAGCAGCAAAGCATCTCTGACATGTTGGAGCCATATGAACCACCTCAGCCCTTCAGGTCCTCACTGAGGCGTCTCCTGGTGGTCATTAGGGTGGTCTATTGGGCAGTTTATTCAGACTTTTTTATTTAATCGTATCACTTAACTCCAGCTGTTGACCTCCAGCACAGTTAGACCGGTTTAAAGCGTGCGGATCATATGGGCTCCTGAATGGGGGGGACCTCGGAGCGGTTCTGGCGTCCTACTCACCAATGATGGGGAAATACTTGTGAATGTTCTGGGTCAGGTTTCCATCCATGATCTGCCAGTGATAAAGGTCCTGAAACAGTGGAGGAGACAGTGAGACCCTTAGAACCTGCTGAGGCGGAGCCTCTCTGCCGCAGCACCGACCATCTGGAGCTGGATGTTGGGCTTTCCCACCTTCTCCAGGATCGCTGCAGCTGGAAGACAGGAGAAACGTTTTCAGCAAACGTTACGCTGCTACACCAGAGAGGACATTAAATTATACCAACTCTGCTGCAGCTCATTACTAATCTCTGCTAAACCAATCACAGCGGGAGGCGGGGCCATAATGCAGCAGGACTTTTCTGTTAGCGTAGCATTAATCTTTTTTATCGAGTCCATTCTAACCTATTTTAACATCTGGCTGCTGGAAGACGTGTCTTCATTTCCCTCACAGTCCAGTTATCTGATTGGTTCTAAACTGTTTCCATTCAGCCTACAGGTCCCGCCTTTTTAGGCCGCGCTCCACCCTCCCTCAGGCTGGAGGCGGTCTGGCTGTTAACTACCTCTAAACATTCCCTTTTCAAACTGGGCGTAATACTGGAGATGAAGGCAGAGTGGCGGCAGCCTTCAGCAGCCTCACCTTGATGAGGCGAGTCCAGGAAGTAGCGGGGGTCGGTGATCCTGCTGTTGATTGGCTCAATCAGCCCAGTGATCCCTTCCTGTTGGACCCATTCCCATTAGTCAGGAAGAAAACCTGCCTACAATTTTACATTTTAAATAACTGTAAGAAATGGGAAATATTTTATTATTCCTTTGGGACAAAAAGGTTAATTTAATTCTTTAATGCATACATGGTGAGAAATATCTATATTTCTTACATTCACAGAAATGTGGCAGTTTTGGTTTTCCATACCTGCTCCAGACGCTTCAGTCATTCTGGGGTCAAATTCAACACACCTGTAATCAATCCCAGCTGGTCTGGTCTTACTTAGAATAGATAACCAGCTGCTGGCAGAAGCTGCTGAGGTTTTTGCATCATTACTGCTCTGGAGAAACTTAATGTTCTGCATTTTCCTGCAGCGAAGGGAAGCTTTATGTATTTTACTTTCAGGAGTTTAGATCCTGAATCTGACCAGGCTTTTCCTTTAAGTGACAGAAAACTGTTTAACACTGAGGAATTCCTGTTAATGGTTTTATTATCATTTTTTTTTCTCTTTAGGCTGAATAAGGTATATATTTTTATTTGTGCAAACATGGGAGTGCAGATTGATGTGGAGCTGCACCACAGAGCAAACATTCCTGCTGGACGGAGATCTCTGTGAAAAGAAAAGCAGAATGTTGGCGTGGAACCTTCTGGACTGTATGACATCACTTACCTTGGAGAGGATCTCTGCTGCATAGCGTAGATTCTGAACAAACACCTCCTCCATTTCCCTGCAGACGGCTGACCTGGAAGCGCCGGCGGGGATCCTTCCTGCCATCAGGTGGATCCTGCCCCGCCCACAGAGAGACACCTTTATTTCTACACTCATTAGGATCTTCCTTTGTTCAAATCAATCTTCCAATAAATGATCGTTCCTGACAGACAGACTGTGACCTCACTGTGCTGTCATCAAAACACCACCAACAGAACCTCAGCTGTTCTTTACATCTTTCACACACTACAGGAACACACCTGGTCTAGTTAAAGCCCGGCTCAGGATGTAGAAAGAGTGGAACCTTTAATGGTTCCACAGGCTCCTCTCCTGTGGAACCAACTACCAGTTTTAGTCCGTGAGGCAGACACCCTGTCTACTTTAAGGCTAGGCTTAAAACTTTCCTTTTTGATAAAGCTTCTAGTTAGAGTGGCTCAGGTTATCCTGAGCTATCTCTATAGT